AACCAATCACAATGTTGTGTTGTACTGACGCAATTCTTCGGAAATTCCCGAAGACTTTCCGGTAACGCAATGCGGAAGTGAATTATCGATGTCGAAGTACGATCTCTTGGAATTGATTTCAGCGAATAAACAACATAGTTTTTCCAAAAAACTAGTAACTAGCCATTTTTGAGAGGTAAACTGTATATGGCATGAAATATTTACCGCATTTTACTTGTATTAACAGGTCATTGTCGAAGCGTAGTTTACGCATGGTTACTGTGTTCTACGCATTCACAACTTGTTCACAGCGATCGATATCCACGCTGTATCATATAAAAAACGATTACCAAGATTCGTTACGCAAGACTAAGTTTTGAATTAGTTGCATTTTGAAGGGGTGGGCGTTTTGCCGAATGTGACCCCAAATATAAAAATTGTGCAAAAGTGGGGGGTGGGCGCTTGCCCGGGCATGGGCGCTAACGCGGTCGAGTACGGTATATATATACCGTTATATAATATTCCATAGTATTTGTCCTTGTTCAAACATAGGAAAATAAGAGTGACATAGAAGCCATATCAGTACATGTCAAAGACGAGTAGTCATGTGGCTCATATTTTCACTAGATCAACAACAAAAAATACAAGAGAATAATATTATCACATTCACAAGGCAAGTTGTTGGTTTCTTTTTATTTGTTTTTGTCTGACAGTCATGACAGACAACATGTATCTGAAGATTGGACGTGAATTGGAAGTACAGCGACAACTCAATGGGATGTTAATATTAGGTTTTGATTGAAAATCTTGTTTGCAACCAAATGTCTTCATGTTATAATGTTCTGTCACCACGTTTTGAAGCAAGAAACCATATTACTGTTCTATTACTGGATCTCTGTTAAAATAGTTCCCACTTGAACTAATGACAGAAGCAGGATTCAATAATGTAGAACAACCAGAATATAAAAGCCATATTTACTGTTCAACAGGGAATAACTTGGCTTGTGCATATGATAATACAAACTATATACCCAGGCAATACAGGTTTGTATTAATTTTTATAATGTGACAATTGATATGCCCACTGTACTGTTTTTGTGATATTCTCGTAATAACTTGATTTTAAATATCTGTAAGCCAATTTACTAATTTAACAAATTGGACTTTTGATGGTTTGTTGAAAAGTTTGGAGAGATAGAGAAACAAATAAAAGGATGAATGAAAACAAGGTGGATATTATTAATCTTGTGATATACCGCCTATCTGTGTACACAATTTAAATGGTTTACCTGTTGTATATATTCATCTTTGTCATTATTCAGTTCATCTACTTGTTTTAATATTACAGCCTTTTCTTTCACTGCAATAAAAGAGGATTGTGATAAAATCATATGTTGGTGATAAGTGATGAGTGAATGAGAACTGCATGCACATTATTACACACTGATAGAACAATAATCAGTTACGTAATATATTTACTGACAAGAAATGATATCAAAATTGCTTGGGTAATAAGTTATGCTTTCTGTCGATACAGAAGACACAGAAAATACAGAGCTATAAATACTTTTTCCTACATCAGAATATTATTTCCAGCATTGGTCACTAGAGGGAGCCTATGTTTTATTTTGGGAATACTATACTGGGCTTTTGCATTATTGTTTTTATATAAGTTGTTGTTTATGTGCCCTTAAACTTGATCAGTCCTGTCCAGTGTGGGTGTGTGTGTGTGGCCTGTACAACCCAGTGAAAAGCTAATATGAATTTGATGGACCCGGGAAAGATTTTTTCGTAATTTGGCCTCAGTCTCAAATCGCAGTGCAAAATGCAGAGATTAGGGCCACATTAAAATAACAAAAGACTGTACTTACTTTCACCCTGTGCTAGTATAAGACAAAGCTGCTTATTTCTTTTCTTTACTGTTTGAAGTTCATCCTAAAAAATCAAATTATATGACCATCATTAAAGATATAATCTCCTCAGTATGCCTAGAAGTATATGTTGTACAACTACTACTATGTAATGGCATGTACTATATGTGTATGTATTTTCCATTCATTCCTGGTCCTGGAAAGTGTAATCCACTTTTGAAAGGCACTCAGAAAAACTTATTTACTTGATTGAGCGTTGAATTTCGAGACAAATTCCCCCAAACTGTATATCTACACAATTCATTTTGTCTTCTAATTATTTCATTATTAAATAACTCATTGTCCAATGACACCTTTATTTACCGTTTATATTGGCTTTTGGTGGAGGCTTTCAGCAGGTGATGTTATAAAATAGTGAACAAAAAATGTTTACCTTTAGTTTTGTGACAATTTCACTTAGTTTTGAAATTTCTTCATCTTTTTTAGATAAAATATCTTCAAACTGGACTTTACGTATACTTTCAGCAGCAAACCTCTGTCATTGAATCATGTAATACAAAACAGTCACTCCATTAATTTTCACTGGGTTTAAATTATGCTGTTTAGCATTTCAGGCATATTCATTGGGTTTTAAATTTACAGTTTTATCATTTAGATAATGTGTTCTATGCTAAATTTTACATATTCACTGAGTTTTAATTTAGCGCATTTTTATTAAAACCCAGTGAATAATTAACCCTTTTACAGTATGTCAAAAAGGATATGCAAACACATACATGACATTGA